AAATGTTTTGATTTTATTATTTAATATAATTTTTTAAATACATTTCAATTTAAAATAAGATACCAATTGTAATGATTTTTAAATATTTTTAATATGAAAAGTGTGAAAAAGTAAAAATTATCTTTAAATTAGCGATCTAATGCATTTCAAATTTATATACCAATACTATAACTTAAATTTGTATTTTATCAATAATAAAACTCTAATCCGCAGGACAAACATTGTAAACAATCTCATGAACAAAAATAGTAAAAAATGTATCTGTTGGTCAAAATAATTCGAAACTCAAAAAAATATTACAAAAAAACAAAATGTACTAAGAAGAAGTATATTCCCTATGCAAAATAAAAATTATGAACAGATTTTATGCAATACGGATTGTGTTTGATAATGTTTAGTGCATGTTACAATTAAAAATTAGTTGTAGTAATATTTTTATTCAATTGAATACTTTAAATTAAAAAAATAAAATAAAATTTTAAAAAAAATTAAAAGTAACATTTATTCGGTCCGGTCCCGGTCCGGTCCGGGTTTTACCGGTCCGGTCCCGGGCCGGTCCTTAGCTTAATCGGTCCGGTCCTCGGTCCACCAAATGCCCCTTATTCGGTCCCGGTCCGGTCCGGTCCGGATTTGACCCGATGAACACCCCTAATCATACCATTAACAATTAAAATTCATCTTAGTATATTTATCAATCCACTGCTCTTAACCAATGTCGGCTAAGGCTTAAACTAATAATTCATAGTCAAGGTCCTCAAGGACATCTAAGCACTACAAGGAGGCAAGCTTTAAACCTCAAAATTAATTTGAGAGTGTAATTGGTGGGGTGGGGGTAGGAACCGTCAATTTTATTAACGGGACACCGGAGTGCTCTCGGGTCATCCCATTACATTGCCGGGCAATGTCATGAGAACCACCCCGATATATATTATGTAGGCAAAATTCACAAGAATGCTCCCAGAAATTTTAGGTTTTACATAAATACTCCTAAATTTGTTTATTTACATAGTTACTCCCACATTTGTCTATTATTTACGTCATTACTCCGCGATTGTTTCATCATGAGTGTTCCTCAGGTGTGTCTTTTTAAATAGGGTTCTTCATCTTTTTTTATTGAATTCAAATTAAATTAATATGAACAGACTTGATATTAAACATTAAAAAGATTTAGGAAGTTTGAAATCTAATTTTTTTAAAAAAATGATAGAAATAAGGGCAATGATTAGGCTTACTAAGACGTGAGAAAGACGATGGAGAGAATAATTTGAGGTGAATTTGTTATATTAGAGTGAAAAAAATACATGTCTGCATTTTAACTGTTCACTTAGCGCAAAAAAAACACATCCAAATACACTAATGTTCACTACCAAATTTGGGAGCAATGATGTAAATAAAAGAAAAATGTGGGAGTAATGATGTAAATCAACAAATTTGGGAGTATTTATGTAAAATCTGTAATTTCAGGGAGTATTCTTGTCAATTTTGCCTATTATGTATTGTAAACATGTCATTAGTCACATTTTAGTGGTTGCAAATATTAGGATGACGTCATTAGTGTCATTTTAGCTCTATGTTTGGTTTAAGAAATTTGGTAAGAAAAAAAAAGGTTTTCCTCACCAAAATTTGAGAAATTTTAGTTTCCATCCTTTTTATACATTTTGCCTTCTCATAATCTTTTTCTTCCATTTTTCTTTTCTTTTTCTCTTTTACCAAACAAGAAAAGCATTTTTCATTTTATTTTCTTTTCCTTTCCCTCTCAAATTCGTTCATCTGCTTTGAGTCTTATTAGGAAGTTAGAATAATATTTTTTCTTTTCATCAAATGAGTGGATATGATACGAACTCGTATCGGATAGGAAAGACTTAGAACGGCTTCAAGCTCTTGAGAGTATGGGACGAGGAGGAAGAAGAAGAATTGAGACGAAGAGAATCGGAGTCTTCAAGCTTTTGTGTGTTTTGATCTAACGAGCTCCTAGAAAGAGCCTCACTACTATGTGGTTATTTGATTTGAATTACTACCCCACTTCTTCAAATCAAATTATTTGTTTAGAATCATTGAAAAATAGGTATGTTATTTATTGCAAATATCTTGTTAATGCGTCATAAAAAAAACTAGTGTATAATTTTCCTCTCCTAAATTTACTTTATGTGTTATAAATTATTTTTGAAGAGGTAGTATGAAATTACTCTCGGAGTAGTGTATTAAGAAAATTGCTGGAAAAGAAAAAAAATAATGTCAACACTTTCTAAAATTTGAGTGTTTTTACCAAAATATTCCAAAATTACATAATTATAACTAGCATTTCCAGAAATTCAATAATATATTTTAAGATAATATTAATTTTAAATGAATTTCTTAAAATTTGAGGTTATCTACTTTAATGAATATTCAACTTCCAAATCACCCAATTTGAAACTATTTAGATTAAAAAACCTTCTTTTAAAGAAAAATTCATTTCAACACTTGTTTATTTATATGATTTCATTAGTTAGTTGATAAAATAAAATACTTTTATCATCTCTTTTTTTATTAAACATTTGAACGTACTTTTTAAATATGTATCGGGATATTTTTTTTATCCCAATTTTCAAACAAAAATTTATTTAAAAAATTTAAAATTTATTTCACACAAAGTATAGTTTATTTAAGGACGAGTGGAGTATTGACAATCTTTTAAAAAGAAAATGAGAGCATATATAAAAAATTAAAAAAACAAGGATGGCTCAGAACGCAAATTGGCCTA